GGGGTAGTGGCAGGATGGAGGGGAGAGGGGAGAGGGGGGGGAGGGTATTGTCTCCTCTGGTAGCTTGGGGGCGGAACGCAAGTAAGTGGAAGGTTGGGGTGCGGTGAAGGGTGGAGGGATGGTGGGGGTGGTGGGGTGGTAGGAGTGTTGTTTGATCGTTTTTTAGTTGGGAGTAAAAGGGGGGGTAGAAGGGGGGGTAGGGATAGACGGCTGATTAGTATTGTCTCACTCGATTCTCACTCGATTCTGTTACAGCGTCTTTTCCTTCGTCTTTTGTGCCCATCGCGTAGAGGAGCTGCTCTTGAATGACTATTCCCGACTAGACTCCACAGGTGGAGAGCTGTTTCACTCGCATACTTGCTGAAGGAAGTTGTCTGCTTGTGCGCTGGACCTCTTGCGAGTCCCTAATACCGGGTCTCGCTCCTTGGATCTTCGACAAGGGTCCAGCTAGATGCAGCCAGTTTTCCCTCCACTTTGAACGGAGAGCGCTTGGGAGCGAACAGAACACGTCCAGAAGCCCTTGTCGCCTTCTATCATACCGAGCCGGCGCGGGGGCGTCGCGCGCCAAGGCGCACACACGTGGAGTGCCCCCCTGCAAAGCAAGGCTATGGCTTCGTAGCGGACGGCGGGGGCGAGCGTCGTTTCGAAAATTCGAAGTTGGCGGGCGCGAACACCAGCACGGGCGGGAAACCGGCCGTGGGCGCGAGCGCGTGAATTAGCGCTGGGCTGCGCTCTTGCCTTCATTCCAAATCAGGTCTAACCCAACCCCACAATACCCCTTTTTCCACAATCCCCACTAACAAGCTCTCGAACCACCTTCCCTCCAGACCTGTCCACTCCCACCCACACCATACCCCACTTGCTCGTCCACCCACATCTATCCTCTTGTTGGTCAGAGTTCGACAGCTCTCATACCCCGCATTATCAAGCTCTCAATCCACCACCCCTCCAGGACGTAACAGTGTATGAGAGAGAGCGAAGATGCAGAGCCCAGGAAGTCGTAAAGGCCCAGCAACGATCAAGCAAATGTTGCAAGAGCCCGCGTCCAACCCTAGGACCCCGCAAACGGGCAAATCGCTGACTAACATGTTCGACAACGAGGCTCTCAAATTCCTCATTGAAAAAAACAAAGTACAAGGGGAAACGATTGTCGAAAAAGTGAAGAACGATGAAAACAAGGAGGAAGAGATCATAATCTGGAAATACCCGGAAGGCAAAGTGTCGGAATTGGATGAACTACATGAAAAACACGCTGTGGTCTTCAATTTCGCCAGAAGTGGTGCTGACTTACAACCAGCAGAAAAACGGAATGGATTACAGCGACGATAAAAAAAGAAGACAAGCTGAAATCTGCAAGTGAGTCCTTTTCCATGCTGGGCCTGGGTCGCAACTCGATTATGGTGACCTTCAATCTGGAGGACCATGCGCGCATTGCAGCCGAGATGAAGTCCAGGAACTGCATTGGCTCAATATGCACTATCACGCAATGAAAGAAACAAACAAATGCGAGGCCAAACCCAACGTTCTCGGTCTCATACAAGCAAACCCTACTGAAAGAACAATTTTGGGTACAGTTTGACAATATTCAACCCGGCTTCCATGGGTTGCTGGTCGACAGACTCGAAAGACAATATCCGGCAAACAAGATCCTCAAATGGATTTTGCCGATGCCGGACTTTCTAGCCCCGCATTGTGGATCAATGACAGCCATTCTGGAGGTCAAAACCGACGACCCTCCTGTTTTCCCGACAGAATGGAAATTTCAGATCGAAGACAGGGTACAGACAATTAAAGTGTCAACCAAGGCYTCCCCCATCTGCTTCAGATGCAGAGAGRGGSGGCACACGGGATCAGATCCTGCATGTCCAAAGTTCCCGAARCAGCAAAGAGAGAAGAAGCTTCACCCCAACATGATGTTGGAGGTGGAAGACGCCYCGGGAACTTGGTTCATTGTGGACMCAACCTATGACGGCTGGGTCTTTGATGACAACCTGGACGACCCTGAGTGGGTCTGGCATTATGCARACAAGGAGCCGACAACAAAAAAAACGGATATATTTCCACCAGCAGACARCAGGTGGCAAAAGAAGGCCACAGKCAAGGAGACAGGGAACCCAGCGAAGATCAAAACGGTTCCCCTCAATGACTCCCGTGTGATCAGGGAAGAGAAAGCACGGGAARACTTGCTCTGGGACCTGAACCCGGTCCGGGGCCAGATCGAGGAAGAATACTCCAAACAACCTGCAAAAATCCAGGCCAAAATACAAGCATACATCAGCCTCAAAGAACAGGAACTAAAGCAAGAACTGAACCAAAAACTGAACCAAAAACTGAACCAGACCCAGACGGACAATAAACGAACCATGGAAGGAGGCAGGACCATGGAAGGAGGGGAGCCAGGATCAAAGAAAAGG